GTTTTTGTCAGTTCTAGATTCTGGACGGCCTTCATCGCGTCTTTCGTTCAAGTATGCATTTCCAGTATTAAGTATGATTGTGTAGCTGTTGTGTTGTGTCAGTGCCTGCGGTTGCATGTGTATGATGAGCTTAGAGATAATTTAACGCTTACCACAGATGCCTGCGAATGGTCTTCTGGCGCGACAAAGATAGAGGTTGAACAGCAGCAGAGAGCACCGCAGAACAGGGATGATATCACAAAGTTAATGATCACGAGCAGACCGCATATGGCTGCCACAGCCAGGTAAATGTTGGGTAGGGTCTCTGTAGCAGAGCAAAACCGAGACAAGGGAAGGGAGGTAGGGTGAGGGAGAGAGGGAGAGACAGAGAGAGAGGGGGGGGGGGAGAGGGCCAGAGAGAGAGGGGGGCGGAGGCAGGGAGAGTGAGAGAGAAGAAGGAGGGGGGGGGGAGAGGAACAGAGAGAGAGGGAGGCAGGGAGAGTGAGAGAGAAGGGGGGGGGGAGGGAGAGAGAGAGGTAGGGAAGTAGGGAGAGAGAGAGAGAGGGGTTTGGGGGATAGGCAGAGAGAGATAGAGCCTCGGCGAGAGAGAGAGAGAGAGAGAGAGAGAGAGAGAGAGAGAGAGAGAGAGAGAGAGAGAGAGAGAGATGGTAGAAGGGGAGGGGGAGAAGGAGGGACAGAGAGAATGTGAAAGAGATTGAGAGGGGGGGGGGGAGGGTATAGGGACACAGAGTGACAGAAAGTATATTTGCCGGTCGCACCTTGCTTTAGCCGGGTTCCTCATACCTTAATGTTGCCAAATTTCGTAACCAATTTGGTCTCTAGCTGACTCAGAGTGGATCCGATATGAGCAACAACAAATTCTTACCCAGCGGTTTATCTAGCTGGATATAGTCAAAACACAGAGGTTCCAAGCTGTCCAATAGAGTGCTCAATACCGAAAGGCAAAGCAAGTTCAAACAATAATAAGAGGATGAAAAAAGTGTTTTAACTCAGAGTTTCACGCACTAAGCGATCATCAGTAACGCGAGATACTGGTTTATACACCCACAAAACAACAGTGCCCGTGACTGCAGTTGTGAAAGATTGCATCACGGCATGACTTTGAGAGGTGTGAATGGCAGCAGTGGTGAAAGGTACTAGAGGGGTTTCACACTGCGTGCAACGTGACAAGCCCGCGAGAGCCAGGCTGTTCACGTGCGTGACGCACATGAAATGATACGGAAGGTTGATAGCACGGACACAGACACACACGTACAAGCACGCACGCACACCCGCACGCACACATACACATACATACACGCACGAATGGACAAGCAAACACAAAGGCAGCCATTCCTCGCAAGCAGTCTACACTCACGCCTGGCAAAGTCACAGTCCGCATTCTCATATCGAATTCGTGATCGTGGACAAGTGCAGGTGTTGTCAGAGGACAAACACGTATCGTCGGCATCTGAAGAAACAGCACACAAGACATTATCATAAACCAGTGAATTTTGACTGGGGTCTTCCCACTTTCCTCAAGTACCGTATTTCCGGAATAGAAGTCCCACCTTTTGCACCAAACTTTAAGGCAAAAAAAGAGAAGGAGAAGTACCGTTAAGTGTGACATCCTTCTTATAAAAAAATACATTGGCGAATGGCTGAAACTTGAAAATGGGGGTCTTACAATCAAGTGCAGCATACAGCCAAAGAACATATAAGTGGACACACACGTCGCGAAAACTTGATGTGTGGCAAGTTCTACCAGCCGCCAGGAATGTTGATGCGACCGGGGTTCCTTTTACGGCCGCTATAGACTGACGGCCAGGCACAAGCCAACAAGGGTACATGGATGCGGCTAATGGGGTTTCTCGGCACTTGTGTCAGTGATTCTGAGACTTATCCCCTCACCCCCACCGTTAGGCGTTGCATCTACCGCTAGGGTTTACCGGGTGCTAGCGGCCACCAAGAGTACCCTTCCGGAATGGACACGATAATTTACTTTTTTACTTTCATAGACTGACGGGACATACAGCGGTTCTATCAGAAGGCATGGGACCTCGGTTGCAATTCACACTTTTCTTCCTTTTGTGGACATATAAGAGGACACATGGGTACGAGCAATGAGTACTGTAATTTCCCAAGTTTATTTTCGGTACTTTCGGTGCATCTGTTTCATACCAAAAATATTTCAATACACCGAACAAACACTAACACACATAGTCCAATAGGAACGGCTTCTCTGTACCTAAAATGTCAGTGCACCTAACCTGGACTTTTGCCCTCATTCCGAAAATATTGAGCACCAAATGTTTCTGAAACTAGAATAACTGTCAGCTACCGTAACTGGAATCTAAATCCTGGGCAATCAGCAAGTGTGATACCGGGTCACAACCTCACATACTAGCAGCGTCTGCTCTAGGATTGTAGGACAGCCGGGTACACGTGTACCTGGCGTAACCATTTCAACCTGGTCGGAGCCGGGTACACATGTACCTGGCGCTGTCTCACCACGACGACC